AAAATAAAAAATTTATATCTTTATGTTTGAAGCCTGAAATGTGGCAAAAGGTTGAAAAGTTCAAGGGGGGCGAATACTTTCGCAAGGCACTGTATTACTGTTGTGCTGTTGTATGTACATGAGGGTGGCTTGATGGTGTAGTGGTCAGTTCTTAGGTCCTAGATTTGATGGCAGACTGGAACATAAGGACATAAGAAAGGTCTGCAGACGGGAGGAAGTCATTGGCACATCTTAGTCACTTTGTAGCTTACTAGTTAAGCTAAGTTAATCTAAAATGTTATCCAGCCTTTTCTTAAAGGGGACATAGTTTGGACTCTAACCACTTGGCTTGGAAGCCTGTTTCAGACACCCACTTCACTTTGAGTAAACAAATGTTTCCTCTTTTCTATTCTAAATGAATTCCCTTTAAGTTTCCATCTGTGAATCAGTGTCTTTGACATGCTTATTATGTGGAAGACATAGGTGTCTTTGGAGATATAAGAATAGTCTGCTATCAAAAGGGGGTTATTCAGTCCATTTTGCTCGTGTACTTGTTTTGCAGCTGAGTGAATCCAAAATGTTGTCCAGCTCCTTCTTAAAGGTGCCCTGAGATTGGGCCTCAACCACCTGGTTGGGGAGTTTGTTCCAGACATCCACCACTCTTTGAGTAAAGAAGTATTTCCTGCTCTGTAACCTGAATGTTTTCTTCTAAGTTTAAGGATTTAGTGGCCACATCTTTTGAAATTTACCCCAACGTGTTTATTTCTTCATTGCTTCCCACGTTGTCTTGATGGGGACATACAGTAAAAGAATCTAAAGAAACATCCAAACTCATTTCCTGTGTAACTTCCTGCTGCTCAGAATCACCTGTGTGATGTGTACAGTGTAAGTTTCTGTTCCCAGTGTAGGTCACTTTGCACTTTTCAATGTGTCAGCTCAATCCATGATTTTGTCATGTTTGCTAACTTTATCCATGACTAGTTTGCTTATACCAGAGCCTAGATCATTAATATAGATGAGGAATAGCCATAAGCCATAAAGGATCCCTGAGGCACACCACTGCTCACATCTGCCAAGTTAGAGATTATTCCCCTTAAAATAACACTCTTTCCTGTTTGTTAGCCAGTTCTCAATCCACTTACATACATTACCTTATGATTCTTGTGAATCTTGTTAATCTTGAGAATCAACCTTTTATGAGGCTATATCAAAACCTTTCTGGAAATCTAAATATATAATGTGCTTTACTTCCCTTTCTAATCCCATGTTATTTCTTTAAATTTCATTGTTTTCTAAGTAATATTGAAATATAGCTTTAAATATCTTTGGAAATATATTTTCCATAACTTTACCAATAAAAGAAATAACAGTGATTGATCTGCAATTTCATGATTCAGTTCAATATCTTTTTTTGTGTAAGTGAGAGTTGAAATATTCTAGCAGGAGATCTATGAAAAACACCCCTCATTTCCTTAGGTATGACAAGAAAATACCATTGGAACTACTCTAATGACTAAGAAGGTGTCAACTGCCAGACATCTACATACCTACACACACTGGTCTATTGTTAATCAAAATTATTCAAGCAATGCAATAACAAATTCCTAGTGCACTTAGAATAATTGTTTATCTTGTTTACAAGACAACCTTTACATTGCAGTTTTTTGCATTTAAGTCATTTTCTTAAGGTTTTTCTCTTAGTTTATAGCATCAAAAGTATTGCTTCTGTGGTACTGCCTTTTGAAAAATGTTTGAGTACTTAATTTGATCCTATATATTTTAAAATCCTATGCCTCTTAAAATGTTAGGCACAATTACACAAATCTTTCCACACAGATGAATGTAAATAAACATAGACAATCAATTAAACTTTTGAATTACCCTTAAGGAGCTGCATTTTGTGAAGAACTTGATGTCCATGTGTATTGTTCTTGCTCTGGACACTGAGCAAGCATACACTTATATGTATTCTATGACAATAGACATTCACTTCAACAGTACAAGTTTAAGAGTAGGAATGAGACAGTGTACCTGAAGCTTTTGATAAGGGATTCCATTATGTTTGCATAACACAGCAAATGGTTGTAATAAAGCAATTTAAAATTTAGTATAGCAATAAAAAACAATTACTCTTGAGAAAGATTCCTGTAGCAAGCAGTATGGTGGGCAACCTTTCAGAAACAGCCACTAATACTGGTAAGAAACAGAACACTTGAACTTTGTGGTTAAAACAAGTTGTACTTTCATCTTTTTGTTTTTCAAGTTTGAGTTTTACATCAGGAAATCACAGTTAAACCAAGCAGGATCAATTATATTCATCCGTTTTCAAAAAACCTTATGTCCTGATGAAGACTGTGGGAACAAAGAGCCTATCCTGGACACTTCTTGTTTTGTGGACTATTTTGCTACCCTGTGATATTCAGCCAAACAACAAATACTTCACTAGCGTTTTTGCTCAGTTCAGAAATTAGTCTAATTAAGCACTCGTCTATTTCACAAAGGTGAATGAATGGAAAACTAATTAGAAATGAAAAAGTATGACTCACTCAGACAGTAGTTGGAATCACTCCCCATTTTTTCAAGATTATCAAAACATGTTAAGTTCAATTGAATTTAACCTGTGTATGCCCCAGCCCATCTGTACCTATGATCTTCAGTTCAAGTGCTTTCACACTAGTGAGAGTGCAGGGGTGTGTAACAGGATGACTTGACCTCTAAAAGACTGTACTTTTTTCATATTTGCTGCACTGTTCACATTTACCTGATAGTGCAGTGAATGCTGCCTATTTACACTGGAACACATAAAACCCAGACTTCTTGGTCTTTTTTCCTGAAGAGCACAGCACAAGCGTCCAGGTGTGGATGGTTTTTCTGCTTGCATCAAGACCAGAAGAGATTGGTGGCTTTCAGGTGATAGGACAGTGGAGAGGCTCTGGGCCGTATTGTTTACGGTAAAATATGTGATTGATGCTATGATTGCAATTTATATTAAAAAAAAGTTTTATGCATTCCAGTGTTACAAGTCAATACTGTACACATACATTTATTTTTAATTTATTTTACATCTTGTATGTTCCATATTCCCAAATGAACGATTGGAACTCTTGCAAAGATCCAGAATACTCTGCATCAAGCAACGTATATATAAATTTATTTTTGTACCTTTTCTATCCTGCATGTGTTTTGTAGCTTATAGTATAAGATACAGAGAAATCATACTAGTTTTATCTCTTTAATGGTCCCTAAAATTAAAGATTGAAAACAAAAATAATAGTGGGAGCATTTAAAGAACAACATATGGTGCTGTGAGAAAGTGGTTGTGTTGTTTGATGGATGTCAGTGATAAAGAGATTTAAAAGGGACCAGAAAACATCAGAACTATTAACAGTCTAATTTCTGTTGGTGTGTGCGTGTGGAGTAGTTACATAGACTTGTGTCCACCAGTGAATAAACACTCCTTTTTATTTCATCCCAGTCCATTCCAATACTTTACTATGGTAGTTCTGACACAGTTCACCTGTAGAACTGGACTGCAGTAGTGTCCTGAACTTTTTCCATGTAGAGATGAGCTTCACGCTTCTCTGGCTTTTATCATATTGGATTTAATCATGTAGTAATTGAAAAATAAAACAGAAGTTTTATGCCAAGGGATGAATTTACCTACAGTATGTGCTAATTGTTTTTCTTTTGCTATTATTATTAGTAGTAGTGTCAAACACTAAGATCTGGTTTGAGTGACAACCAAGGAAAGAATGTTGTAAACTTTAAACAGATTTGGATCTGCAAGGGTTATGTTTCTATACCCATAATTACTTAGATAGACACTTTTTATAAATTACTTATGTAGAAAGAATCAAAATGTTGGTACAGAAATTATTGTGCCAAAGTTAGGAATTTGTAATCATTTGGATACTGATGATATCTTATCAATGATGTGATTAAACCTGATAGATGTCTGAGTACAACACAAAGGAAAAGTACAACACACTCCTAACAATGAGTATTAAAATCCATTGTAATATAAATGTTTTGACTTTGTCAAAACAAAATCTACAAAATTACAGCTTGTAAAATACAATACTATCTGGACAACTAATGTTAATAATGGAGTGTTGCTCTGGTGAAACAAATCTTCTGTCAGCCTAAATCATTCACTTCTTATCATTTTCAGTAACAATACAGTTTTTAGGTTCATGCTAATCGACTATGGCCATTTGTACAGATTGTATAGAAGTATACTTTTTATGGTAAAGCCAAAGTTATTTTTTTCTTATTTTATTGATGACTGCTGTTCAACAAAGCTCAGCTTGATTCCATCCATAATGATAAATATTGTAATATCTTACGGTAATTCATAATTTATTTAAAATAATTAAAAAATAAAAATAGTTATTTAAAATATCCATCAAGTCTAGTTAGGTCCTTTTTTAAAATTCAGATCTTAGTAATTATAGTCTTCTTATTTTCTTGTAGAAACAACCCTTAGTGTATTGATAAAATCCCTAGGATATCAGTTTGAATCCAGCTATGAAATAGAATTAGAAATCTTTTCATTATTCACAACTTTATTTTTATTTGGAGTGAATTTGTTTCTTTAAAATTTCCAAGTTGATTTCATTTTGTGATACTGGAATTGATTAGAGCATAAAAAGACTTTTTAAAACAAGAAAGATAACGTTGCTGCTACTGAGAAGGATGTATGCAGTTATTGCCCAGGTCTTCAATGTCACACAGAAATGCAGCTGCTCCTGAGTGTGAAAGACTGCAACCCTGGAACGGCGATTCTCTGCACAAACTTATGCTGCCTGTCTGCTAGCAGCAGTGCAGCAATCACTGTGGGACTAACACAGGCTTGCAATCTCATATCAGCAACTCTTTTGTCTTTGCTAATAAGTAACAAGATAGGAAGAACCCCTAAATGATGCCCGACTGAGCTTGGAGGTTTTGCCCCTCTCTCACTTCATTAAGAGACGCGTGTGACGGATGCCTGACAAGCTAGCAGATGGTGTGGGGCTTGAGCAGGAGGGCGGGCAGGAAGCACTGCAGCCACACTGAGGCAAGCAGAGAACAAGGAGACGCAGACCAGGCTGGGAGCTGCACAAAGCCCAGAGGGGTGCACAGCGCTGTTGAATGGAACCCTCCTCCTGACACAAATCCATGTGGGGCTTCAGTGAAGCTGCCACCTTCCCTGGCTGCACTGAGAAAGCAATGCAGTAAGTGTTCCTGTGATGATGCAGAGGCAGAACTCACTTGGCGTTTGAGGCTTAAGCTTGTGAACGGTATCGGTTTCTCCAGAACAGGAGGAGAAGACAGAGGCAGGTCATTTTTTTTTCTTTTTGATCGTGCTAGCAACAAAACAGAATACTTTTGTGCCAGTGCTTTTTTAAAGTGTAGGAGAGCTAGATGCAGGTCAAGTTGGCTATAACCAGGTGCGTCTTTCATCTGTTCTATGCTGTTGGGCAACAGGGATGCCTGCTGCTCTTATATGGGATTAATACAAAGAAAGGTTGGTTACACTTTCTTTTATTACCTTTGCCTTTTGTGAGATGAAATCACTTTATCTCTTGGATTTTTAATTGCACATTGTTCTGTGTTGGTTCTTTTAATTGCCAATTGGTAAAATTAGTGTTAATATGTTAACAAAGGCTGTATTGTGGTTTGTGTTGGAAATAAAAAATAAGTCCTATAGAGCTGTAACAAAATCAAATTCCATCAGCATTTCCAGGAAACAAGTCTTGATTGTGAGTTTGATTTATTTTAACATGTTGCTGCAATATGTCAGAAGGTAATATTAAGTTAAGTTGATCTCTAAATTTCTTTGTGCAGAATGCTTTTTAAGTCCTTTTCCTATTAGCTGTTCTTAGATGAGTATGTTGCCAATCATTCAGTTGTTAGGATGTTTATGGTGATTTACAAGGAGAACATTAGAGAATTTATTGTCATTTTAAATTAAATGAATTTCTAACTTTTTACTCCAATCGTATATTGCTAAAGAGCAATTGTACGTACAGTACATGCAGTGGGGGAGTCTTTGTGCCGATACACTACTACATCTGCAACAATATAGTCCTATATAAACTCACAACTTAAGGAACTTTAAAATAAATAATACAAATGACTTAAGTTTGTTACAAAACTCTCAAGTGAATTTTAGCAGACGGTTTGAAACACTTTCAAGTGTGCAGCATATGAATAGAGGTAAATTAGACTGAGTATGTTTGACACAAGTGGAAATATGAACTACATAATGTTTTCGAAGGTGGATTCATAAAAATAAATAAAATATACATTCAATCTGGATGCATTTCCAGTTCAATAGTAGAAAAGTACAGTGCAACTGAAAAATCTAGTGCAACTGAAAAAAACGTACTGTAATTCAGACCTAGAATCTTCTTTTCTGCATTTTTTCAAGTGATGAAGTAGTATTGGGAAAATAAAAAACTGCACATATTATTCCTTAAGCCATTAAATATATTTAGTTGTTGATTGTTTTGCCTTGCATAGAATTAATCACAAAAATATTTTGCCAATTGTATATTAATACAAAACAGCATAAATACTTAATTTGTAACTGTTCCCTCTTAAAGAAGTATTTTATTTTTATACAATAATACTAAATACCTTCTTGTTGTTCTACTAGAGAAGCTATAGTGTCTTCCTGTCTTACCTTCTAAGCTAGCATTATAACAATGCAGTTCCCCTATTTTAATATTTGGGATCTGAGCCATTTTTCTGCAAAATCATACTAAGTTTACTAAAGGTGTTTTCTTCTCTCATGTAATAATGATCCAGAAATGATTTGGATATATTTACCCTGAGCCTGGTGTCATCAGAGCACTGTTAAACTGTGTGCACCTTGAAGGCAGTAATATTGACAAGCTCCGACATGAAGAGGCTCCAGTAAATCTTACTCAGCTCTCTTCGATTTCTTTCAATGGAGTTACATTTAGCAGTTTTATCTATCTGTATGTGATGCTGCAGATTTGTCTGGTCCAAAGGTCATGTGTGCTTTTCATAGTTCTTTTTTTTTAATAGTTCTTTTTCTTTAGGCATGAACCCTGAAACAGAAAAAGACCCAGGCAGTGTTGATAATAAGCGGTTGAAAGTAGGGATAGGTTCAGGAGGCTTTCCTCTGGAGCATTTCCCAGGCCCTCTGAAGTGATTTATATGCAGTGATTCATTATGTACTCAATAAAAGAGTTACTGTTTGGATAATAGGAGACCAGGATGTATAAAATGGTCTTTTTAAAGACAATTGTAGCGCATCTCATGCCAAAAAGTACTCATGTGAATTTCATTATTGCCATTATTTTTGTTTTTTCAAAATGAACAAGACTCTGGCACCATTTTAACAATATTCCCTGGCCAGTCTTGAGATAATACATGAGTAGTATACTGCCATGATTCATGTTTAACCCCACTGTGCCTTTCTTACTGTTGTCTGTTTCCACCAGTAAAAACCTACAGTATGGACAGAGATCCACACACAAATGTTTAAAAGACCTTTTATAATCCCATTCAGACAGCAGCATTTTCAGACCTGACTTCAAGCACTATTATTAGCTGATAAGGTTGCATCTCTACTTGTTGCCAAATGTCATAACAGGAACAATAATAGGCTTGATTTTGTCATTTGAGGAGAGACTTGTAAAGTATAACATGGCTGGGGTCACACACAAAATGAATTTAGTGGCCAACTCTGGCTCCAGTGGGCACTCATCCCCACAGTTAAGCACTGACTGCCAACCTAGATTTTAGTAGTTTTAACAGTATTGCTTTTGAAAAGACTCTGTTGTGCCAAAAGGCCAGACTCTGCCCTTAATGAGCAACAGTATGATATAATTTTAAATTGTTTCACATATTAGTATTAATGTGATGAAAAACAGGTATGAATTTAGGAATTTCTTGATATCACCTCTCCCTTTTTACCTGTCTGGTTCAACAATTACTCATGTAATGTTAGAGATTAAGGAAATGTTAACATATACATGATGTTAACTTTGACATACCTTTTACACTACAGGTTTGAAAACACCTACAGGGAGATGTGAATGTTGCTGACAAAGAGGTTTTTAATGTCCTTTCCTTTGCTGCTAGAGTGTGCTTCCAGTGAACAGATGTTGTTTCCAGTCTCACAGCATTAGAAGTGTTGTCCAAAAATGTGCAGTTTGCTGAAAGAAGTATAAAAATATATCGATTGGCTTTTTCTTCTGGGTCACAGAGATTCCAAAACATGCTAGTTCTGTTTTATGAAACCAAATTTTCATTCACACTTAAGTGGTTACTTTCCTAGTATGGATTATATTTCTCTCTCAGCAAGGTAGTGTCAATGTTTTAAAGATTTTGTGCTCTTCTTTAGTGAATATCTACCAAATTCCAATACTCACATCACAGAAACTGAAAATCCAGAAATTCAGTTTTTCACTGCTGCCATTAGCAGTCATTGACAAAGTGGGTACTGATCTATGCATCCCCTTCTCATTTTTCACTTTAGATAGCACCTCTATGCATGCAATGATAAGTTTCATCATAGATTTGTATTTCGTTTACTTCTTCTCAGTAGTTCTTCAGAGGCTTATCAGAAATTGTCTCCTTCCTTAGATACAATAAATCTATAGCTGAGTCAAGTGCATTTCACAGGCTGGAGCCGATTTCATGGCTCACAGTTTTCTCAAAACCACTGCAGAGACTGCAGATGCTGGTGCCCTAGTGAAGCTCTGCACCAGAGGTTCCAGGGTGTGAAAATTCCCAAAAGCAGAGATCTAAAGATGAAGCACCGCAAACAAAAAATATGTGGAATTAATTTAACACAACCAAATCACGAGCTATATTGTACATCTGAATGACACACAGGGTGTTGCAGATCATTTTTAAAAAGGCAAGACTGGTGAATGATTTGTCTTTTGGACTAACTGAATATTTCCATTCAGAAGGAGGTTGAATGGTGCTGTCTTTCGTTCTATGTGTTTCATTCATTAAACATATTTGCATGTAAGTCAGTAGGAAGTAAAACCTGATAGGGTATGAACTGTAAAAACTGCACACTCCTCTTACATAAAAAGTCAATTCAAGGATCTTTAAATTCAGTTTCTCCGAGTCTGAAAGCTCAGGTGTCTGAGATCAAAGACTCGTTAGTCTGTAAAGGTAGAATTTGCCACAATTTCTTGCGTATTAAAAGCACTACAGTTAGAGTTGTGAGCTAAACATCTATCTTTGGTTAAAGCCACCTCTAAAATGTAGTACTCTGTGCTGCAACGGACAACCTGAAACTCCTAAGTGTAATTAGAAGTTGTCAGGACAGAGTGAGGAATAGATTTATAGTCTTTGAGCTTGTTCTCTCACCAAAAAAATCATGCAGGGTCAGCAACTCACTTTAATTTGTTTTCTGCTCCAGTGCAGCTGTGTGTTTTTTAATTGATGACCGTGCTCTCTAGTGTGTTAACAGGCTCCAGACTCTATCCAGTTGTCTTCCACACTGTAACGTTATCCTCAAGCTCCTATTATACATTGTCTTTACTCTGCAGCTTCCAAACATAAAAAGTGAAGAAGAGAGAGAGAGCAACAGTTTAGATTCTTGTTAACTTGTGGAGCCATGTCTAATATTGTCAGTCCCTCACCTATATTTTTGGGGCAAGTGTCATTGAGCCTCACTTCTGATAGATCACTGTGAGGGGAACTATCGCTCAAAATATTTATGACTTCATCAAATAAAAAAGAAAGCAATTACTGTATTTCAAGGTTTTAATTTGCATGAGAATTTATAATTCAAACAAACAGAATGTAAAACATGATGGTGTGAAACTAAATCTGAAAAAACTTTTTATCAGTGCTTCAGTGTCTTGGTATGAAAAACATATGGTCACAAGTCACTAGACATGCCTCTTTTCATACTGCACCATTGAGAAGAGCAACTGGTTGACATCAAGACCTCTGTACGTCAGCTCATGACAGCTGAAATTTGGAAGTGACTTCATACTTTAGGGTTTATTTTTTATGTGTCCAGTCAATGTTATTTTAATACATTGGTAGGGTGTGCTAAGCTCTGACAAGACGGTGGTTCCAGCAGGCAATGGTCAATGACTTGCAATTTGCCATCACCTGACCAGTTGGAACAAGACAATTAATTGAGTGACATATAAAATACAGGAAGCAAAGGATTCCATAGGGCTATTGCCCTCTGCTGGCTAAAAAGCCTGAAGAGAGAAGCGTGAGTTTTGAGTCCCTGAGAGAAACTTGTTTGGAGCTGGTTAGCTGTCTGGATGTACAGCATTTATAGCAGGTGAATTGAAGAAAAAGTGCAGTTAGAGCTCAAAAGAGCTAGGCTTCTATTGTTTTCTCTTGCAGTGTAAATAAAAGGTTGGTAAATAAAAACACTGTTTTATGTAGTTTAAAGCTGCATGAATGTGTTTGTTTTACCTAGACCTATCTACAGTGGGTCCCTTGATACAACACCCAGCCAGAGGTATGCTAGATCATGAATTCATGAATGAGTAATGATAAAGAGAG